TATATATATATATATATATATATATATATTATATATATAAATATATACATACATACATACAGTGAATATATGCGTACTAATACTATACAAATACATGGAAGCAAAAGAGACGCCTGCGCATGTGCGTGACCGTGCATGTACGCCTCGCCGGTGCACACGAGCGCCAAAGAGCAATCACGCTTGAGAACATTCCTGTGTGATGCGCTTGTAATTGGATGAATTGCTTATCAAGAGATGATCGTGTAGCGAATGCACTGAGGGAGGGAGAGAGGGGAGGGGGAGGGAGGGAGAGAGGAGGGAGGAGAGGAAGAGAGAAGAGAGAGAGAGAGAGAGAGAGAGAGAGAGAGAGAGAGAGAGAGAAGAGAGAGAGAGAGAGAGAGAGAGAGCGAGAGAGAGAGAGAAGAGAGAGACCAGACGAGAAGAGCAACGACAAAAACAGAAAAACACAGACCGGACAAAGAAAACGAGAGACACTGAGAAAAAAAAACGACAGCGAATAAAGGAGAGCGATAAACGGGGGAATAAAAACGGAATTAGACAAGACCAAATCACGAACACAATCACGGACAGCATCTTTCACGCCCACGCACCGTCAGCGATAACCATGGCCTAATTAACCGCAAATCATCCAATTGGCAACCCCGCCCCCCCCGTGCCCAATATCAGTCATTGGCAAACCCGCGCCGTGCCAAATATCAGTCATTGGCAACCCCCCGTGCCCAATATATCAGTCATTGGCAACCCCCGTGCCCAAATATCAGTCATTGGCAACCCCCCCGTGCCCAAATATCAGTCATCGGCAACCCCTTCTCGCTGATTGCTCTTGCAAAAGGTCAAGTTCTTTTGTCCTTTTTCTCCGCCTTTCTTTCCACCTGCGCTCCCCTTCCGCGCCGTGTAAAAGCCGTTTGACCTTTCGTGAGATCGGGTCAAATGTCCTTCGACGGAAACCCGATACGACCCCCGATTAGCGAGCGGTGACGTCACGCGTCGGCGGATCCCATTGGCTGGCGATCTGAAAGTGGGCGGGGCTAAAGATCTCGGTGGGAAGGTGGTGTAGATTCTTGAAGAATATATATATACATTCAATCGATATTCTCTCATATATATTTAAAAAAAACCCAGGTATTACGTTTTTCAAACAGAAATTCGGATTCCAATCTCCAAAAACACGTGACTCTTTGGAAAATAAAGAAAAAGAAAAGAATAGAATTTTCGACTTGGCGCATTTTTCTCGTAAAGAAAAAAACAGAATTTTCGACATTTCTCTCATAAAATTACACCATGATGTTACTCATTCCTACTCATCTCTCAGGTGAATTATTCATTCATCAATAGCAGCGACCTCTTTGATAATACCCACAATGCCTCTCACACGCCGCAGTATCCACTCCCTGCAATATTCATTCAGATTACTCATTCTTTCTCATTCTTCATTCACAGCACGACTCATTATCATGTCTCGAAATTATTCATGTCAATAATCGTTACATTACTCATGGCGAGCCTCACCTTACACCACTCCTGGATGACCCATTCATAGAGTCACTCTGGTAATACTCATTCTTGGCGAGCCTTTTTACTCATAACTTGGCGACTCCCTCATAATGTACCTATTAACTCACACTTTTTCGTAATATACTCATGGTATCAACACAACTCATGGCGGCTCGACTTCCTCATGATTTCCTTACTCACAGTTTCGTCCTCTCTTCCTTACACTTCCTCATAGTCTCCCCACTCCCTCATAACTTCTTGTCATTCCCTCTTCCTCAACTTCTTGGCGTTTCCACTCCCTCACGACTCCCCACTCCCTATGGTTTCCCTCACAACTCTCTCATGGTTTTCCTCACAACTCTCATGGTTTCCCTCACAACTCTCTCATGGTTTCCCTCACAACTTTCTCATGGACTCTTTCAAGGACCCCCTCGTGGTCTCCCTCACAACTCCCTCACGGACCTCCCTAAGGACTCCCTCACAGCTTCCTCACAACTCCCTTAAGGCTCCCCACTCACTCAAATTACCCTCGCGGCGTCCCTTTCCCCTCACAACTCATTTCGGACGTCGCTACAACTCCTGCATGACACTCTCAATCACTGACGGCTCACTCGCGGATTCCTCTCTCCCTCACAACATACTCACTGCGTCTTCTCTCCCTCATAACATATTTATTGCGTCCTCTCCCTCACAACATATTTATTGCTTCCTCTCCCTCACAACATATTCTCTGCGTCTCTCCCTCCAACAATTGCGATCTCTCCCTCACAACCGTCTCCTCCCTCACAACATACTCAGTACGTCCTCTCCCTCATAACTTACTCATTGCATCCTCTCTCCCACAACATAACCACTGCGTCCTCTACCTCACAACAGACTCATTGCCTCCTCTCCCTCACAACTCATAACGTTCCCATTCCCCGACCACTCAATAATGATATCTCTATTCATTTCAAATTCACCCACGGCACTCACATTCACTCATAACTCATTCATGGCACCTATT